GTGCATATTATAGCGTTCACCAAGAAACACACTTCGGTCACAGTTTTGAAGGATACTGGATGATTGTCTGTATAGCTACTGGTGTACCAAGGGTTTGGGTTATCCGATAAAATGCTCCGGAAGAGAATTGATTATGATTGAGAGACTTGAGAGGATGATATTATTGCGTTCGTGATGGTTAATATCAAGTTCATCGAGCAATACACGATCATACAACTGATAAGGAATCACTTTCATTTGCCTATTGAAAAAGATATCCAATGATTGAATTTTGGCCGCCGTTTTCTTCAGCACTTCAAGCCTTGTACATCCTGGAATGTAATCCTACAGGCCCTTTTCGTTCATCTGTCTTCCCAAACAGTCCAAAATGAGTAGGAATTTCTTCTATTGAATTTTGAGCGCTCTCTGGATTGATGAACAACAAGTAGAAATGCCACTGATAGGATTTGATCTAATTCTGAAATTCAGAACAGGTAGGACAAGCAGTGCATGAAACTGAGATAAGTTTCACTCTATAATGCTCGACTGTTCTTTAGTAAGCAATCATTTCTCGTTTCATTCTCTGTTTTCATATATATATCTTGAAAACTCGATATCTCGGGAACAAAGACACACGGAAATGAATTCTCTTCTGGTTTTCCATACCTCATCGAGATCTACTTGTGGTCGAAAGATGGCGCCTAACTGACTTGAATACCTAAATATGTTTCCTCGTCAGTTGCCGCAGTAACAAATGATGACCGATATTATACCATTTCTCATACTTGGTGATATTTCTCGTGTTTATTTCCAATCAGACGATAAGGTTAGGAGTCTATACAAAATCACTGATTCTTCAGTAGTGATCTTAGTTGAGAAAAAACTTCACTTTCTTTCGACTTTTCATCAATTAATTACTTGACGACTTTGATACCTTTGGCTACATCGGTTTTCGTCCATTTGATAAATTCGTCTGATTTGATTGTGGCTCCGAGAGTTTACGCAATTCTGTACACTTGGCTTTTCCTATTGAAATCTAGGCAGATATCGACATAGAGAAAAAGATTATTCGGTCGTTGGTGTGAATGTTCTGTTATAAAAAGGTGAATATCTTATCTCTAGTAACATTCTCAAAATTGCTTCATTTTCATCGAGCAAGAATTCACGAAGGAAAGCTAATAATTCGCTGTTGACAGTAGGATGAATTGCAACGATGAAAAAGAATTGCAGTATTGCACATCCGCCACAACGTTTCGAAAACATCTTAAGAAAATGAGGATGAGACAAGGCGGAAACACCGGACTTGAAGTCAAAAGTACATGAAAATATACTATTTGAAGTAGCTCAAAGTTTCACTCAAGTAGCACAAAGTTAGAACAAGTAACTGGAGATAACTTCAAGTGAATGCGAAGTTGAAAAGTACATGGAAATAAACTACTTGAAGTAGCTTTAAGTACTTCAAAGTAGATTGAAGTAGCTTAAAGTAGCTCAAGTAACTTCAAGTCCAAAAGTCCACTATTTTCCCCTTGGAATGAGGTATCATTTTGGCTATAGCTAGTAATATATTCAAGTGTGATTTTAAGTCATCTTCATAATGGAAAGCTTGCCATTCGTAAAATTGCCAAAAAACAATACTAATATCTCATAACTCGGTTGCAGTATCTACTGTAAATGTGTCTCACATTGTGTCTAAAATTTTGACAAATGTTTTTTTGTGATCCGTACTTGACTAGATGGCCATATTGAATTTCATGGAGAACATTGCTGTACGAAATACTTCACAATTATTCAAATTCATATGATCAAAATGTAGACTTTGACTAGTGACTAACTTAGTAGTTAATGTGTTCGATAAAATGTACAATGTGTTCAGACGATCACTATCTGTTTTTAAAATGATTCTTATATGACAACATGACGTTCATTCTTACTTATATAGGGACAAAGTTTGGCGAGAATTAAATCGTTTCATGCCGATGAAATAATTAGAAAACTGTAGGTAAAATTCAATGCTGCCACCGTTCCCAGGCGATGATACTTCAAATCAAGTATCTAAGTCGAGGATTTTTTAGGCAACACGGATAATTAAATATTGGGAAAATGTTGCCTTTTGTCTTCCCCTTAATGACGACTCTTTTTAGTCCGCCTCAAATTCAGTTCACGGCACACAAGATAATGTTTATATTTCAATAGACTCTATGAGAGATGCTCCCCAAAAAGTTGCTTCACAACGATATTTGCTCCATTAAGAGCTTTAATAAAACTTTTAAAGATTTTCCAATTAATACAAGCTAAGAACCTACTAAAACAGTCATAAATCAGTGCACAGTTCACAAAAACAACAGAAAAATTTAAGAACTGATTCAGAATTTACAATTTATCTCATACAATGTTTACTATAATATAAAGAAGTAGAGGTATAGAAGGGTACGGATGCGTGTATGGATATTGGTCTTAAATATGAATCTTCCCTAAACCCACACCCACGCCCTGTGACGAAAGCAATATTCATGTTACCAATCGATTAAATGGAAAATAAGCTTTGAAGTCACCTACTGTGTTTTCTTGTCTAGAAGTTTGCTAAGTACACGTATTATAGTTTTCTTGAGACGCAGAACAATGATGAGAAATTCTCTTGTGAATTCGAGTTCTCTTACTAATACAACAACATAGCTTACGAAGAATCTCGAATAATAAATTCTATCGACAAGACGAGAGAGATAGGGACACTGTTGGAGTTAAAACTATTTTTCAAAAAGTTGATCAGTTATAACTCAAAAGTTATAACTCAAGTTATAACTTTTGACTTTTAACTCCCAACTTTGTAGTGGTTAAAACACCTTCTTCGGAAAGTTGAACAGTCATAACTCAAAAGTTATAACTCGAGTTATAACTACCCTAATTTTAACTCCAACAGTGGATAGGGAGCTACAAAACTGCAGCTACTGCTCCTTGGGTCAAACTCCAGCTGCGAACAGGAGTGAAAGACAGTGTGTTCATAGCATGATTGTAGATGAAGTGTCATCAGAGTACGTTTTAATAAAGTCAAAGAGGTATTGGAACGACTTTCTTTAGTGACCTTCCGTCCTTTCAGTCATGAACACAATAAAGTCTTAGATCATGATTCTAATAATCAAAAACTACTCTTGCGTTCTAGGGTTGAACGATCAGTTTGTTCCTATCAATCTATTGAATCCATTTATTCTGATCTCTTCCACGTGTCTCAAATATCACATGATTATCTGCTGGTATGACACTAATCATATTAAATCGAGTTCAATTAATCAGTCGATTATACAAGCTTAGAGAACGCTATTAATTAGTGCTTTCGAATCATTGAGTTGTTAGACACCTATTAATATATTAAGCAACAATTGAAAAAATCTTTAAAGATGTTATGAAAAGCTTTATTACTTTGTATTGATCGCAATTTTTGTCTGCATGTTCGATAGTCTATTTTTATTGTATGATACCATCAAATACTACTGTTATATTGCTATCGGAAGTAATCAATTTAAAATGAGTGAGAAAATTGTTTTTTATAATTTGAACTAACTCTCTAAAGTACTAATATGCAATAGAGTTCAGAAAAATATTTATGCTATTCTTATGAATTTCTTTCCGTAAAAAGTTATCTGAATATGAGCATTGAAAGTCCTTTTTACTAATAAAATGACTGATCTAGTTGTATCTTTGAAACAATGTAAATCATTGTATAATTACTCCTTTTATTCTTTAGTATTTATATGCTAGGTTAAACGTGAGTATAGACTGCACGTTTCTTTTCATTTAATATAAATGATATGAATGAATCAAGGCACTTATGAAGCGAAAACAATTACTGATGATTAAGTATGAAGGCGATAATACATGATATTTAATACGATATCTGATAAATCAAACAAATGTAGAAGTTTTTAATGAAAAATGTATTCATATGGAAATTTTCGATCGTTTAACGATCATTTTCAACCAAATAACAAGACTTTTGTATATTACAAGCACAAAACAGAAAAAATCAAAAAAACAGAGATAGAAAGAAACATCATAAACATTAACTTCATAAAGACTCATATTATCACGTGAATCAAATCATCCAAGAGATAATTTAATGTAATAATATTTTGTAATTAATAATAATTCAATGGAATAACATTATGAAATCAAAAATACAAATGAATTTAATAACATAAGTGAGGACAATAACACATGATATTGATAACACGTTTTAAATTAGGAGCATGAAAATGAAACTAATGATAAAGCATCATTCTTTGAATTATCATAAATTGCAATGAGTTTATTCCAAATTTGATTCACGTCATAATATGAGTTTCTGTGATGTTATTGTTTATTATGTTTCTTTCTATCTTTGTTTTTTGGTTTTTCTATATTGTGTTTGTAATAACCAAAAGTCTTCTTATTTGGTTGAAAATGATCCTTAAAAGATCAAAAATTTCCATATGAATAAAATTTTTCATTAAAAACTTCTACAATTGTTTGATTTATTAGATATTACTGATAATTATCATTAAATATTCATTTTTCATTTGTTTTTGAAAAAGAGGAAATGATCGAAAATTATGCGTCAGCATAATTATACAAAAAATATTTTTACGCTACTAAAAACGTCTTAATAGCTGACAGGTAGTAAATGATTTATATCATTATTTTATTTTTTCTCTTTCTCACTGTAAAAGTATGTAATAGCTCTGTAATAGTATGTGCATAAATGTATATAAAACAAAATTATTTATTCATCTATTCATCTAATTTACTGTTGGTCGAAGAAAAGTAAAAACTATGGCTTTGCCTTTATGGGTCTACGTCTTACTAATTCTGTCAACCTATGTTGACGAAACAACAAATAGTTTTAAAAATTGGAAAATTAAATTTTAATTTTTTGCTAATAATTGTTCTTTTAGATACTCAATGTGGTACTAATGAAAAATATTTCTGTAGACCAAGTTGTATTAAAATACCTGATTACAAATCTAACATTTGTACGATGATTTGTCAATATGGTTGCTTCTGCAAGTCAGGGTATGTGCGCCAGTCTAACAAAAGTGGAAGTCCTTGTATCATGCTTCAGGATTGTTCGAAAAAAGAAAACATTCTGAAGTGTAGAATAAATGAAGAGTATCAGCGATTTAGTTCCAGCGTGTTTACGCACGTGTGATTATTTCTCGCATCCACTTCGAAAAATGCACAAGCATGTATAACAATGCACATATCTCGTTGTTTCTGTAAACAAGGCTGCTATCGCTCTAAGAATGGGCAATGTGTTACACCAGAAAAATGCTGTACAGCTGAAAAAGAACTATACATAGATTGTGGTTCGGCTACTGTTGAAACTTGTAATTATGTACCACAACTATGTACTGATCAATGCGTTGTCGCTTGTTTTTGCTAGTCTACTGATTATGCACACCAAAATAACAGCATTGCTAGTCCTTGCATCAAACTTAATCGATATCTACAATTAAATCCATTTAACATATAAGAACATTGCATTGGAATTCTTGTCATTGTCTAAGCTACAATGCGTAAATAAACTGCTTGTCACTAAAATGTACTCAATGATGAAAAGATTAATATATCGGCTATAATTTTAGACTTTCATACATGAAATAGTGATGTCTGGCTTCTATAAAAAAAATATAATCTAATGTTCACGAAGACTCGAAACATATTTAGTTGTAGTGAGTAAATAATTAATAAACATATCTAAATCGTGCCTTGTGGGATTTTATATTAAATGCTTTCTAACGGTAGCAAGCAGGAATTTCGGATGTGGATGTAGATGTGACTATTCATTCTACCAACATTCATACCCACACCCACCTTATTGTGTAACTATACGAATATTATTTTTTTCTTAATAAATATTATTATCTGTTGATAGTCGTACTGTAAGACGATCAAGGGCATCAATCACTTGAAAACTAAATTTTCCTCTTTATTTTTATATTAATAAATAATCTGAAAGTATAAATATTTTGTATTAAAAATGCATACCTATAAATATATGCAAAGTAAACCTCTCCATAATTCAATTTTTCGTCTAACTGAAGAAAGATATTAATCATGCATTCGATATTACATGCAACTTTTTTGCTATTGATAGCGATTGTCATCCAAGGAAGTAAAATAGATTTTAAAATTGCTGTTCATATTCTTATTCTTCTACGTATATCTTAGACCCGTCTCCGCTTCTAGTATGTGGTAACAATGAACAATACACCTGCAGCGCAGATTGTATCGAAACATGTGATTACAAGCCGACTATATGTACACATATATGCAAATTCGGTTGTTTTTGTCAAGATGGCTATGTTCGTCAGTCAAATAACACTGACAGCGCTTGTGTTAAACGTGAAGACTGTAACAAAGAACCAGAAGTTCCACAATGTGGAGAAAATGAAGAGTATCAAGGATGCGGTTCATGGTGTCCTCCAACATGCGATGATTTTTCATATCCACTTGGCAAAAATCCTCATGTATGCATACTGAGTTGCAACCCTGATTGTTTCTGCAAACAAGATTACTATCGTGCCAAGAATGGTGAATGCGTTAAGCCAGAAGAATGCTGTACAGGTGATAATGAAAAATATACAGATTATGGTTCGGCTTGTGTTGAAACTTGTGATTATGTACCACAAGTTTGTACACATCAATTTGTTCCCGGTTGTTTTTGCCAGTCTACTGATTATGTTCGTAAGAATAACAGCACTGCTAGTCCTTGCATCAAACGTGAACAATGTTCCAAATGACATCTCTTTTTTTAAATAACAAACAATAAAATTTTTTCATTGTTTAAAATGAACTAAAAAGAGTTCAATAATAAATCTATGATTATTAATCGTAATATGACTGATCTTACATAACTTCAAATTTTTTATACATGAAATAGTAATGTACCACTTTGATAAAAAGACTTTTTTTCCTGGTTTCAACAAAGCATAAGAATTGTCTTTGTAAGTTTGAATCAAGACAGTGAATGCGTGCTATAATTTTGTTTTTTCTTTTCCGAAAAATGCTTCGATCTTATACTGTCTAGACTCTACTTCTTTGTCGTAGTATCTCATCATTTTATACTTACATAAGAAAAAGGAAAAAGAGTCTGTCTTGACGGCTCCTGTCTTAAATAATCTATTAAAATAAAACCTTTTGATTATTAATGCAACATAAATCTTTCCGATTATTTTACTATTATGCTCTCAATATTTCAAACTATTGTTTGGGCTATTATTGGTACCGACTATGAAAGAAGATAAAATCAATTTGAGCAACTTAATTATATAACAGCCTGTTTTCTTTCATGTATATTTCAGATCCATCGATAGCACTTGTTTCTGACAATCATGAAATAATTAAATGTAGTGTATTTCTACTTAAACATATGATAACACATTGTGATTTTGCATAGAAATATGCAATTTTGACTGTTTCTATCAAAATGGGTGGATGTTAATTAGTCAAATAGTATTAAAAGACCACATGTAAAGCCTGAAGATTGTGAGAGAGAACTTGATGTTGTATATTGTAGCAAAGTTGATAAATAAGAGCAATGTAACCCATACGATCTACTCTGATCTATAATGATTTCTATATATTTCAAGAACAACTTTAATTTTATGCAAATTTGATTGTTCATGCAAACAAGGTTACAGCCATACTACGAAGAGTCAGTATTTAAGTCTTGAAATAAAATAGTGAACCAATCATAGTATTGATATATACCATTCAACTATATCTTTTATTCTAGATTGATATGCAATGAGAAACAGTTTCTACCCGATATGGGAATGAATCTTTGTTTATTTGGAGGGTTTTAAGATTAGATGTTACGATAATTAGTTACACTATAAGTTGACTATACAATTACATCATGGAATAAGAAGCTGATTTTTTCCTTGCTTCCATCATTACCAGTATTTGCAAGTTTGTTTTGAATAAATGTTTTCATTTCAGCGTTATCAAAAGATGTTTTATACAGAAAAAGAATAATCTTCGTTCATACACTATTAATAAATATTTTCAGATTAATTCCTTTTTTAAACAAGAAAATCAGTTATTATATAGTTCGCTATATTTTTTATATACTTCTCAAAAAAAGTAGAACAATGGATTATTCTAATTTTGCGACAAATGAGTACTTAAAATGGATGGGAGCTGTAGCTAAGAAATATTGATGATGACAACCAACTTTTAGAAAAAAAATGATTTCATTGACTTGGTGGCATGTATTGCACAGTGGAAATTATCTACTCATTTGTCTAAGCTTTTAGCAGAAATACAGGATGTGCAACTATTTTAACGACCGTGACTCCTCGTAAACAAAGTCCAGTCAAGATAACGGCCGTGACAGAGCGATATATTGACGTCACTGTAGACAGTTCAAATAGCAGAGTCATATTTGACCAATCCCACTAGGGAATTAAGAACCAGTCGAAGAGCAGCGACTTGACCGGTTCGAAATGTCTTCTACGGTTCAGGACAAATCTGAAGCATCAGTTACTATGCATTTTAACTAATCCATTCAAGTTGAATTGAACTACCTAGCCAACTCGTTTAAAATGACCAATAATCAAATACACATCAAACATGAACCAGATAATACAATAACACTCAATTCGGCATGGATCTTTTACTAAGAACTAACCGTTATTATAGATATGTTCGTTCAAATAGACGCTTTACAAATTATATGCAATTTTAAGTATCAGATATCTACAAGTCTCATTGCTCAAGCTTTGTTATACAAGCATGTTTCAAGTACCGTAGAAACTAGTTTAAGTAATTACATAGTTACATTCTAAAATAAAATGAAATATTTTAATATTCTGTGGCCAAAAAATAACCTTTGCAGAAGAATAGCGGTAGAAAAAAATGTGCTCTTGTCTCACGTCTTATAAATATGACTTACGAACACTATAAATTTATCCTATAGTATCATGTGTAGATTATCAGAGATGTTACTGATTTTTGATTTTAAATTACAATGACAATAAAAATCGTCTTGCAAAATTAATAATGAACTCAACACTAGATAGTGTATTGTAGCATTTGTATTTTAATAAATCACATCATAGTTTAATAACGTCTTTGTTCTTATGTAATATTCCAATAATAATTATTTCTTAGTTTCGTTACTTGTCATCTTAAAGCAATGAAACTTGATAATCCTAATAAATTTATCAAAATGTCGTTGATAAAAAAAAACAAAAACACTGTGCCTTTTTTATCGATCTGAAGTTAGGACATGAGTCATTTAGAAATGAAATAGATTTGGTTTGCATTAGTACAATTGCATTTATTCTTCGATGCACAGCTATCACAGATAGACAGCACAAACACTAGGGTAAAACTGCTCCCTATTGGTACCAGGATCTTCTCCCACAACTAAACTAGTTAGGCCAATTGGAATTGAATCAAAAACATGAATAAATAATTAAACTATTTTATTTTTCGATTGAAGATGGCTCTGTTGTTTCAACTTTCGATTTCATATGTGCATAATTCTCTTCAGTATGTAACCGACCTGGATGGGCAAAAGGAGCGATTTTATCTTTTAGCTTCATTGCCAATGAAGAACTTAGTATACATACTAGCATGGCTGTGTATGACTATAATAAAAAGTATACTTGCTAGTTTATTGACTCAGTGTAAATCTCAGGAAGCAATGAAAATTTATTATTTGATAAGAACATATGGTTATCAATGACATATTACTGCACAAGAGCACCCATCTGATTATAGATCTTATCTCTGTTTTGAGCGCTAAAATCAGTATAATTGCTTCTGCATCAAATAACGTTTATCTCACAATAGGAATATTGTCGCGATTAAAAGAAACCATATTGATTATTTGTCGACGATTGTAACTGTCTAGAAAAATCATTTTTTTCAAAAAATCATTGTAACGCATTTGAACAGTAGCTCTATCGCTACCTTCAATAATGATGTTTATTGAACGAGTTCATCACTCCAGTCGTATCTATATCTGTACAAATACACGTTAATATATCAATCACATAGGAGAAGAGAAAAAGAAGCACATATCATCAAGGTCAACACTATCAAGAAGAAGTCATATTGAAAAAAAGAAGGCAAGTGAAGTGAAGTGTAACGGTCAATAGTCTTTACAGTCACTATATATATACATTCGTCTGATTGTCTTTTCATGATAAGGGTGTTTTCTTTAAATAATCTTGACTGATAAACTATGAGTCAGAAAATAGCAATAACAGAATATTTCCTTCTTCACTGACTATGATAGTGGTTGCCATTACCACTAACAAAGACATTGATGATTATCTTCATTTCGGCCCTTGTACGTTATTGTAGATAATTATAAGCCACGTTATATTCATAAGGTGTGAATCCTATTTTGGTCGAAATAATATATGGGAAAAGTGTGGAGAGATAAAAATGCTGAACTGTACAAAGATCGAAAGATAAAAATATCGCCGTATTAAAACGTCGAAACAATGCAAATTATCATTTAGCTGATGATAAACGATTCAATATGTTTATTTCATTTATTGAGTTTATATTCATATAAAAAAAAAATTTTTTTTACCGAGATGACGGTTGAAAAACGAATAGAACTTTAATACACAAATCAGCTTGAATCATGCATATGTTTCACATCTTTTTTCGGGTGTGTAGATAGGTAAGAGGGAAGAAAACATATCCACCCACACTCAAAAGACAAAAGTACACTTCAACTACATTTATTGAACAGAAAAGAACCCAGTGATATAGTTTCATAAGTAGATATTTGGATGAATGGTCCCGATTCGACCACGACCAATGCTTTTTCATTGCAAATGATATCTCCAGTGTTTGTATAAGACTTATGTAGTTTATGCAAGAATTATTGAGTAGCAATCACCTTAATACTTGCTGTTATAATTTTGACAATAAGTTTTTTAAACAACAGAATTGTCGAACTTATAAACCTATAGAATAGACAGTTTTAGTGAATTTAAAAAAAGTAATGAGTCTCCAAGAGAGACTATATTAGAGGCCATTCATGATATCTCGAGCGCATTGACACTGCCAGAAAATGATATCGCAGTTTTGGCTAACACATGTATAACTAAGCACAAAAATGAAAGCACAAACTTTTTTATAATCTATATCAGGAACAAAAACGATCGGTCCTGCTAATTACATACTCGTAGATATGTGAATATCCTTCGCTATTTTCGAAGTCATAATAATCAGCAACAGTCACTTCTTTTCGAAATCAACATCTGTCTTGTTGTTAAGTCTTTAAAATGATTGCTGAAGAAATGGAAGTTGATTAATAAGGCTGAAAGAAAACTTCTATGAAAGCAATTGACATCACTTCGTTGATCGTAATATTCGATCTACGATCAGAATTCACCATTGTGAAAATAAATAATTCGGTTACAGCTGTATAGAATGTAAATACACAATGCAATAAAATGTCAAATTGTGTCAAAGAAGATCAATGTATTTTCTCTTATCAACATAATGACTGTAATATTACTGAACGATCAACAAAGAATTTCATCTTTTCAGACTATATTGCAATCTCACAAAGTTATACATTAAAATCATCAATGAAAAATTTGATTTGTTTTTATTTAGAGTTGTCTTCTAATTTATAAGCATCATCATCGATCACCATATCAACATGATAGATTCGACTAGAGCAACGAATACAATTAACAGAAACACAGAAACAAAAAAAAACAAAATGGTATAATAAACACAAGAGAAGTATGAGAAACAAAAG